CGCAAGTGTCATGTTGGAACAGAGTAAGAAGCGTAAACTTTAGGGTTCTTGAAGTATGTCTCACAAACTCTTTCAAGGTGCCTTTCCAAAAGGGCTCCGCTCGTGGACTCAGCAGACGCTCCGAGTCGCCTGTTCTGCTTCCTTGGCCCCAAGAGCTGCTACAAACAGTGAACGATGCACACCAATGACAACGGTAGAAGTACAAACAAAAAGCAACAAAATAGGTTGTCCTTTGAAGCACCCAGTGCAAACAGGGATCTCCACGCTTGCCAACGTGAGATTCAACCTGGATTCCAGCATCTACCGCTGCATGGGAATGCAAATTGTGGTTCGTCTTCTTCAACTAGCCTTCCGGCTGGTGACTTCTCGATAGCCCTTCGCGCATCGTCAAGCCTTTCAAACTGCAAATCTGTCTGTCCGCAACCAATTGACTATCAATGACAACACATATCAGAACCAAACCCCACGAGCTGTATCTGTCTTTCACATCTTACATGGGGCTAAAGACTGGCCCTTCCGTCCTGTCGATGTCCCACGCCAATCTTTGAAGAGTTGAAGTGGGCTCAATATCGCAAAGGACCTGCAACTAGCACACTTCATCTACCATACATTAATAATGTACGTACCACATGTCTATTGCAATTGGACCTGGCGAAGTGCTGCACTACCACTTCCAATGTAGAGACTTCCTGGCCAACTTGCACGGTTTTACCACACGAATCCACACGACAAAACGACAAGTCTCGGTAGAACTGTAAAACTTGGAGATCACAATGCTCTGTCCTTCAGCCTCCATGTTGCCCGGAATGGGAGCGGCAAACGTACTCGGCCTGCCAGACAAGCATGGCATTTGGCAAGTCGGATAGAACATGATCAAACAGACATGTACCATTGCAGTGCAGTTTGATTGCATCCCTCAAGCTGTGGGACCTTGGCCGAGTCGCAGCAAACTTCGCCCACAGTGTTGGGCTGGATTCAATCACCTGTTTGGATCAAATTATGCAGCTCTGCGCAAATTGGAAAGATATCTTGGGGGTTCGAAGGGCAATTCAGGCAAACCAAATTCAATAGTTTCCCAAATTTTGAGAGATTCGATGGGTTCTTAATCGTTGCATATGCTGCTGGCCTCTCAAAGGGAATAGGAGTTGAACGTGCACAAAATAGACATTCAAGTTTGGCATGGTGAAGTTTCAAGTCAGCTGGTGCGAGCCTCTCCCCTGGGGAGAGGCAACAAGCCACCAGCCCGACATGGACGAGTTGCAACCTTGCCAAGATCGAAAAAATGAATGAACAATTAAGTTGCAAATCCGAACAGGAAATTACATCCGCAAACTTTTGTGCGCAAGAATGATCAGCGACGGTGTGACGGATCTATCAAACAATACTGGCCACGACTGTGAAGGTGAAAACAAACATGCGGACATGCCTGGATAGGCAAGTGCCATCGTGATGCAGCCCTCTCCCTGGAGCAAAGCAATGTCAAAATGTAATTACAGTAAAACCATTGCACAGCACCACTTTTGTCAAGCGACTGGGTTACACGTCTTTTGTCGGGAATTGATACTTGCATCTAACTGTCCAAAGTCCAGCCAATAGAATACAACCCTGTCTGCAATGCAAACTGTGTGTATCTATATGCATCTATGGAACAAAGTGCAAAACACATTTTTGCAACTACATGCTTTCCAAGAAGCCGCGTTTTCCCGACAATACAGGGCAACAATAAGGGCAAAAATTTACCTGCACATCGCACCTCAGGGTTCACGTGCGCATCATATCATTAAAAAACCCAATAGTTCCATTTTCAGAAAGTGAAAATCAAAAACATTTAAAACAACATGTTTGCGGAAGGGAAATGACGGCAGCAGAGATGGGGGTATAGTGTGTGTGTGTGT